GTACAAAATGAACGGCTCAGAGCAGAAATGTGTGCATTTCCTGTTCTGCTGGAATCCCACCCATGTTGCACCCCACTATATTTTCTGGGAAGACAGTAGCAGTTTATTGTAGCACATTCATTTTGGAGCATGGCCTTCTTGCAAATGCCAAGTTACATGATCAGCAAATGGTGTGGCAAATGATTTCATTATCTCTGATAGCCATTCAACAACTAAGTATCCTGTGAAAGCAAAGTTAAAGACTATAAGATGGAATAAATGTTCATTTACCGCAATAATTAATGTTTATTTAGAGCAAAGCTGCATTCTCACGCAGTTGAGATCAAAATGTTAACTAGTGATATTAATGAAGTTTCGTGCTTTACATCCCTGTTCATGAGTGTGCAATCACAAAAAAAAACAAATTAATCATAAGTTGAAGTGTGTACTTAACCGTGTTCAGAAAGATATCTCTGGTTTCTCTCAATAAGTGACAAGTTGTGTTGTTTTCCAACAGTTATGACACTGTCATAGTCTGAAGAGAGCATTGAACCTAACTGGTGTCTCTCCACAGACTATACCTATTAAGAAGCCCATCTGCAAGGTGTTTGGAAAACTCAGTAACAGTGCCTGATACTCTGTAAAATTTGATAAACATTAACCATACATAAGGTACAGTGTCTAGTTTTGCCTTCAGTCTTTTTTCACAAGGACTTAGAGCTACCAAACTTCAGAGAAGGGCCAGGAGACTTTGAAATCTTAACATTTGGTGGTATTATACAAATATATATGTCACTCTTGGAAATAAGATTGAGTGGGAAATAATGCTTGATTTGGGGATTATGTTGGCCAAGATTTATTTCTAACAATGAGAGGCCCCTCCACCAACTCGTACAAACTCAACCTCACTGTCACAGGAGAAGTTTAACCCAGTTTAAGTGCCCTCGGACTGTTAACTGGACATTGACAGACTTTCCACACAATCAATCCCTCAATGGAGTGAAATCCTACCCCAAACACTTTGTGACATTTGGAGGCTGATTGTTCCTAGTTGTTAGCGCCATCACTGGCAGCTGTGACCGCTGCCTGGAATACTCAGCTGCCCAGCCTGATGATGGCTACTGTGCCACTGAAATAGATGTGAGTGGAGGAGCATGGACCAATGGAATGGGGGTGCTGGGGGAAAGGAGACAGGGGCTGAGAGATGGCATTCAGTGCACCTCTTCCCAAAGCTGGGTCTCTTGATCTACTGAGTGCCTGTCAACAATGGACATGCTCCACCCTCTATGAAGCCACATTGTTTGCTGGGCAGTCTTTGAGAGAACAGGAGAACAATGTGTATCTGTGAAATTCATGGGGCACCACTGAGTACCGATGGGTCCAGGGCTGGAGATAATTTCTTGGGTCAAGCACCACTGCCAGTATGATAGGTTCTGAGTGCTTCCCTATAAATTAACTCACGTAATATATAGCTCAAAGACTGGGTTCTTGTTGAAACAGATGTCTTGACATTTAACAGCACTGCTTACATAGGTTAGGTGCTTTGCTTACTGTTATCTCTACACACTACATGCACATGGCGGACTGACTGAAGACAGTATACTGACTCCAATGCACTGAGTGAGTGACTGAAGATGGTATACCTTTATACCAGAATTGTACATGTCATAATTTTGTGTAATTGTCTTAAAGGCACAGGCCCATCTACTCTGGAATCTATGTAACCAATATTATTTAATCAACCTGTTTAGAGATGTTGTGACACAACTCTGGGCCAGGTGGAATTTGAAACCAGGCCTCCTGGCTCAGAGCTAGGGCATTACTACCGCACCACAAGAGCGTTCCGAAGCTGCCTAGTAATGCAACAGGGATAATTGGTGTCAAGCAGCTCTTAATGACCCTAACTCACATTCCACCGCCACTTCAACCCATCCCACCTCCAGTTTAATTAGGGACATTTTTCCAACACTGAGGGCACTTCAACCTAATTTTTCCCCACCCTCCCCAGATGTCTGCTCTGACAGTTTCAAGTAAATTCTGCCCATTCTCAGTCAATAGATAGGAACCATTATTATAACTGGAAGAAACTGCAAGCTAAAGTTAACAGTAGAAGTAACTTCATGTGTCATATAATCTGGAGAATAAACTGTAAAAGCAAATATTGCAGAGCCTAGCATGCAAGAGTGGGACTTCTAAGGCACATAATGTTTAACTCTGAGTTGATCATTGTCACAGGAGATGGACAACTGCTAAAATAATAATCTGTTATTAGGGGAACAAAACGCTGCTCCTCTTCAAATTATTTAAAGATAAAACATAATACTTCAAAAGAAGTAGATAGCAGAAACTAGAAAGTGTGAAGGAGTCAGACAATAAATAGACACTCAATTTTCAATGAAATATTCAAAGCTAACTCAATGAAAAGTGTTATTCTGATCATTAAAATGTTCAGATATTATTATTACTTAATTTTTAGTGTTGACATGACGTCTACAAAACACTGGGATGACAATGTTGGCTTTAATATTTGATACCTCGATGGATAAATGCACAAACAAAATCAAATCACCGCCTTAGCTGCAAATTGAATTCAATAGATACATGTTGCTGCTCATCAATTGGCTTTCTTTGTGTTCTTGGAAGAACACCTTGTATTCATTAAATCTTCCACTGTGAAAGAAAAACAGGTGGGGCCCTTTTGTGGTGCAGTGGTAGTGTCCCTACACTCTGGACCGAGAGCCCTGGTTTCAAGTCCCACCTGCTCTAGAGGTGTGTAATAACATCTTTGGACAGGTTGATTAGAAAAAAAGGTTCAATAAAAGTTTTGAAAGAAAAATAGTAAATTAAATCCTGGCCAATTAAACTGTATGAACCTGATTGGATAATCCTTAGAGTAAAATTTAAGGCAATGGAGGACTTTGAAGCTTAGAGCATTCAGCCCTGTTCCTGAAAAAGGGGCAAAAACATTCATAGGTATTTGTGCGCGCCTAAAGGCCATAAACATGTTAAAATGAGGAATGTGTAACATGTTAAAAGGAGGGTTTAAAACTTGAAATTCAGCTCTAATATTTCCTTGTATTGAAACATGCTAAATATCATAGATATTGAGCAAAATATGGGCAACATTTTGGTGGACAGACAGGTGGAACTTAATATTGGTAACACAAGTCTGGTCTGCTATCTTTGATTTGATTTGATTTGATTTATTATTTTCACATATACCTAGATACAGTGAGAAGTGTTGTTTTGCATGCGTTACAGGCAGGTCGTACCATACAAAGTGCATCAGGGTACCGAAACAGAGTGCAGAATACAGTTGTACAGCTGTGGAGAAGGTATAGAGAGAGAGATCAACATTAACATTTGTCTATTCAAAAGTCTGGTAACAGCCAGGGGGAAGCTGTTCTTGAATCTGTTCGTACACATGTTCAAACTTGAATATCTTCTGCCCGACGGAAAAGAGTGGGAGAGGGAGTATAACTGGGTGGGTGAGGTCTTTAATTGTGGTTACATCTAGAGAACTGGAGAGAAACCTACATTGCCTCCATTGGAAAAAGCCCACCACAGTGTTTTACTTCCTGATTTGCTGTTCAGAATACTTCAGTGTGATTGTTTTTCCTACTGCATGATAAAACTATTGTTGGATGTCTGGTCATCGTCTGATCTTCCCTCCAGAAACAAACTAATACTGAGAAAGAAAATATCCACACCACAGAGATTGCTTTTGTGGGCATGTTTCTTTTGAGATCAGCTTCAACATTACCATGGAATCCAGACCATTATGGGTTTATCCTTAAGAAGAGAATTCAGTTGCTTCAGGAACATTATTCACATTTATTTTGTTCATCAAGCTTTGTTCTTCAAGGTCCTCCTAAATTTTTTTGTCCTTATCTTCACTGTAATAATATTTTAAGAACTTCAGTAGGGGCACAGAAGAACCTCTAAATTGGAAAAAAGGAACTATTTTGGTACAAAGTGCTACCGCTAAAAGTCTTCCCATCATACACGATATAAAAACTTTTAAGTCCTTGTGAATTGGGTACAAATAGGAGTTCCTTACTAGCTAAGTTTTGTGCAGGTTTTCCATGTCCATAACAAAAGGAAAATCTTTCCCTCATCAATTTTCACAATCATGACTGAAAATTTTACTCCAATTCATCAATCTGGCTACTTCAAGTACTTTTTGGCGCATGACAAATTGCAATAATTGAAATAATACTACAATATGAAAACAATGAATAAGGAGATTTCTGGCAATTTTCTTTTTTATTATAGAACTTCCATCTACAAGGCTGTATTAGACCAATGTCATTTTATGTAACCAAAAGCCAAACTTTTAATGGTTAAAAAATCTGACAAGTAACTTGCCTAAATTCAAACCAGTTTGATTTGCATTCATTTCAAAGTAGTTAAATAAATAATTGTATTTAGATTTTAAAGTTGTTCCCGTTCAAAATATAACAAAAATGGTGAAAGAATTGGGAAGAGCATATGTTACTTGACAGTTTTATAAATTAGCAGTGAATTTTATCATTTTTAATAAATGAATCTTGTTCCTCCAGGTGCATTTTGCTTTAACCAATTGAGCTCTTAGTGTCTTTCATTTGCAGCATACTATTGTCATGTTTTTAGTACTACAGTAAGTTCCAAAATTAAGATATTCAATATTTTCTTTGGGAGGGAAGCTATATATCAGTTAGCAGGTGTTAAAAATGTTTTGATTATTTGAGTTTCTTCTCTTGTCTTACTGTGGTAACACACAGTTGCTCTCATTTTGTTGATGAGAAGTGTATTTGACCCTTAAAAGACTCATGAGGCTATTGTTTTACTCTTTCATTTATTAAAGCAAGTGCTGCGTGCTTTTTGTTTTACGTTGTGTCAGTGATTTTTTTTAATCAATTGTGTGTTGTATACAAATGTCAACATGTGCGACTCAGCTAGAGTTCACCAGGTATCTGTCTCTTTTATTCGAAAATTTCATCATCGGAACCCTGGCAATGTCTGTCTTCTCTGTTCTGCAGAAATGTTGAAGGAGTTGAACGAGCAGCGCAGAGCGAAAGAGTTTACAGACCTGAAAATAACTGTTGAAGGCAAAGAGTTTGAAGTCCATCAAAATGTTCTAGCTTCCTGCAGCTTATATTTCAAGGAACTGATCAAAAGGTTTGCCTTCCTCAAGCTGTGATCTGGTCGGTTCTTTTGTAGGGTTCATTCGTGTTGCTTTCCTCTCTTGCAGGGTTATGAAGATAGAACCTCCTGTCACAGGGCCAGTAGCCATTCTTTCTATCATTTCAGATGAATGTATTTCTAAATTGAAACTAAACCCTGGTTCATTTGCCTATTATATTTTTGATTAATAGCTGCTTCAATTTAGAGTGAAGAAATGAGAAGTTCCATGACTGAGGATCCCTATTTATTTGACAAAACTTTTCTTTTTGGTGACTTCTTTGTTTCATTTTAAACAACAGAAAAATATTATACTTTCTGATTTCAATACATGTTTAAATTCTGCTGTTTGAGGAAAGATCATTTTCAATTATCAGCAGTGATTTGCCAAGAAATATATTACTCCTTCATCTGCTTACCAACAGAATTGTTATAGTGCTTTTTTTTACATAACTAACTAACTCTATCTAATCATTGAAGCCCTTAATTTGCAAAATGGCTGAAGGATTGTGGCAGGTTAAATATTCCAGTTTTGCAAAATTACATACATAGCAAGTAAATAAATTATGTGCAAAGTAAACAATTACATTATAGAATGTCACACTTATGTTTGAACATATTTATAATTTGGGTTTAATATAATCTGTTATGAAATCATTTATGAATTGGCAAATGTTGATATATTACTAAGAAATAGAATGAGCGTAATGCTGATTATAAGGATTTTTAATGCTGTGCTGCTACGATGTAAATGGAAATGATGGCTGGAGGGATTTTTTAGTTTTAAAGGATTTATAATTTTTAAGTTATTTTTCATTTTGCATAAACTTCTATAAACTGTTCCATTAAATCCATGGGCATTGTTAGATATTCCATGCATAAGTTGAACAAATAACTCCTTGGAGATTGCATGACATTAGTTGAAAGTAAGATTAGGGAAAATGCTCCTGCTATCCAGTCAATATGTGAAATTTAATATTTGTTTTTGGTTTATGTTCTCAATATAGTGAAGTGAACTCGCAATTAGCTATTTTAAACTCAAGTATCATTGGGATAAGACTGCTGGAGCATGCTTGATGCAGCTAAAATAATGCTTCTTTCTCAAAGTAAATTGCAGAGTAGGTTGCTAAGGGATTACATGAATTTATACCAATTGCCTTTCATTATCTATTGGTAAAATAAACCGTATTATCATTTCTATAACTCCATTGTAAGCTTAATTGACGGAAAATGTGTTTTTTTCATAACTTGAATATCCTTTCTTCCAACTTAACTGTATCATTCAGGCTATTTACATGAGTCAGTTATTCATGAATATTCTCTGAGAGGCTATTAGTAAACTGAATGGAACAAGCAGTGATGTATAATAGAGTTTAGGATTGGTTAAAGTTGAAATCCTTGCATATCGTTGATGTTGATTGCTCAGGCATTTCAGTCGAGAGATTACTGTTAATTCAATTCTGTTAAAATATCTCAAAGCTCTGCTTTTATTTTACACAATATGCAATGAATTTTAACACGATTTGATGGTTTTTAAAGTACAGTTTTGCAGTTCTTTTCAGTGTGACATTTTTATGATTCCTGATACAAAGTATTAATCTTTGAACATTTGTGCAGAATCTGTGAATGCCTACCTTTGACATTTCCAAACTGTAGGATGAATGATGGCAAAGCTTCCTAATTATCCCCTTCTATTTATCCTGCACATATCTTAGGAGAGATGTGTCATCTGACAGGGGGAAATCATGGAGTAGTCTAGTACTTCTTTGTGATTTTTGCTCACTGTAGCTTTCTGAGAGCTAGATATCTTGTCAATCTTTCTATTCTACAAACAATCCAAAATCCAAATCAGTTCTGTTCTTTTGTCCGCAGGAATTAGTTACAATTGTTCTTCTGTTAGGAAACATTTCTGTTTGTATTTTTCACTTTGTAAAATTGGGTCTATAAGAGTGATGGTGTGTTCCTTTTAGTAGCATATTTTCAACTGTGATCAACTTAGAGAAAAAAGTTTTGATGTCTGTACTATATCACTCAAATTATGTACTTTACAATCAAAGTTGTAAGAGACAAAAAAAAATACCCAGATACACATCCACAGAGCAATCAATTGTGGGACTAATCTCAAAAACAGCAGCTTTGAAATTCAAGCTCTTGACTGGATCTAACCTCTTTCCTCCAGGTTTTGTCCCAAGATCCCAGAACGCATAGGAAGACAGAACAGTCTATAGCAACTGTAATATCTTAGTGCCACTTAGTTCTCTGTTGACTGTTCTGCATGCCTGTTGATTCTTTTCCTAAAGTAGGCATAAGAGTGAAGGATGAATTCATTTCTCACTTACTTCCTCCATTACCTTCCAGAATAATCTTATCTGATGAGCTGAATCTGTAAATCACATTGAGATTTTCCACTTGTGCTGATGAGTATGATGCATGTCTTGATTCAATTTATAATCTGTTGGAATTAGATGCATCCTTAGGGTTTCCAGTGCACACTCCATTATAATCTGCAACCAGTTTGTTTTCAGAAAGCTTTAATGTAATCTCAAACTGAACCATAAATTGCTGGAGGAACTCAGAAAGTCTGGCAGTATCTGTGCAGACAAAACAGTTTGAAACTGGACCTGATGAAGGGTCACTAGACTCGAAACATTAATTCTGTTTTCTCCCCACAGATACTGCCAGACTTTCTAGGATTCTTCAGCAATTTTTGTTTTTGTTTCAGATCTCCAGCATCTGCAGTTGTTTGTAATTTCTTTCACTGAGGAAACATTTATCTTAACGTTTTTATTTTACGCAGCAAAAGATATTCCTTATACAGCAAAAAGCCTAAAGCCTCTCGCATAAAAATGAACTTTCCATTGTAATAAAAGGAAAGCAAATATATTAAATGAATGCAGGTTATTCCTCCAAATGTTTCCCAAATTGTCACATAAAATGCTGGAGAATCCAGGGTATGTATTTGTCAACAGATGGTGCAGATTCAGTATGTAATCGGCAGGCTCCTGTACCCATCTGTTAGCATTATATTGTCTGTAAGACTGCTTTAACATTGTTGGAGCTTATACATGAAAAGTGCAGTTTATTTTTTTCCTACTCTCTTCCACTGCCAGCTTGCTGCCTCAGGCTGTTCAATAATGATTTCTTATTCTCAGTGTAGATAATCTCATGGTGCCTAGGAAATCATTCACACCGAAGGTGTGAAATACCAAGTTGAAAATTAATTTGTAGTGTCAGAATAATAAATCCTGTGACTTAAGTTGTGATAGCCTGACAGTTTTGCTTTAATTGCATTTTTACTCAATTAGAATCTTAAATCAAACTCCATTATTCATCCGGCATCCATTTTGGCTGACCCTACGCAGAGGAACTCTTGAGAAGAGTATCCCCTGTGTCAAAGTTTACAGTGTGTCTAGATGATGACCCTCTTTGTTCAGTCCATGACAACATCATCGAGGTCATAAATTCTCCATGATCATGTAGATTTTCTTTTGAGCTGTGGCATGAAGATTAACTTGATCAGTATCAAAACAATCAAAAGCTTGCCTTAGGTTTCTGTTTGCCAAAGCACTAAGTCTGTCATGTTAAACTTCACAAATACTTAACTTTTCTTAGGCCCTGTCCAAGATTTTCTGATTAGAACTGTTTCAAGGTTACCACTTTCCAAAAGTACCGTGGTTCCTGCCACCATCTCACTTGGAGATGACCATCAAAGTTCAGAACATTATTACCTTTCAAACCCTTGAATCATGTGTCAGCATCATAAAGATTTATGCAAATAAATAATTATGCTATAATTAGATTACCATTTCAGCAATTCGATTACCAAGCAACAGAGTACCAGATTATTTTATGATTGTGTGGTTTTATATTATTGTGAATTGGAAGACTGAAAACTATTATGAAAGGTTAAAGCCCATTTCAGTAAAGCTATGGGTCAACACCTAAAGATTTGCTGCAACTAGAGTCTTGTAAATGAACTTGCACAACATTAATAAATTATTGTTTGAATCTCTCTTGCAGAGAAGATACATTTTAGTGCATAGTTTTTAAGGCAGGCCATTAGATCGAATCATTAATGGCCTAAGTTAAATATTTCACCCTATATTTCTGGAAAATTAGAGAATGAGGAATGATATTAAGAACTAAAATCTGATTTTCTCTAAACGTTTATCCTCTTTTCACATTGGGTTGCCCTTGATACATTTTATCTAAATAATGTGTTTGCATTGCAGAGGTAGCCCACTCTGCTCAATTTAGGCCCCGTCAATGCAGATGTTCTTTATACCATTGGAGAGAGGGAAGGTTGCATAGCTCTTGTTGGGTTGCATCCAGCAAAATCTTAAAAGGAAACTGTCCATTTGTGTGTGTCTTAATTCTGGAGAATGATAAATATTGATACTAATCAATAAATGAGAAAGCCCTTTACAAAGGTAGCTCATGCTTTCAGATACATTTTATGCAGACTGTTCTCCTGTAAATAGCCTGATTGATTTATTTATTCTTAACATGCTCCTGGAAAGATGGAAGAGTTTTTTTTCAGCATATGATTGATGTATAATTTTTCACTCTTAACCTAATAGAAAACTAATGTTCTTGTAGATAATTTACCATCGTATTTTTGCACAGTGAATACCAGAAGCAATTACATTCTCATTTTTTGCATTTTTTTGTTAGTCAATAATTTTGCTGATTTTTTTGCTTGCAGCATTTTTCTGACATGAATCTGAGCAGATTCAATCTTGCATGAGGGCATCAAAGCCCTTTGCCTTGCTTTCAATTACGCATTTAGATCAATTCACTATTAATAAACAGAGAATACTTTGTCCACAGGATGTTGTGTGAATTTGAAAGAGAGGTTTTCAAAACTTCACGTTGCCTTTTACAGCACAAGGTTGAAGCTTATACCTCCATTTTCTTCCTCTGTTGTGATGTAGCTGAACGAGTATGGCAGTAAATGGGTAATATCGTTTAAACGTTACTGCAAGAAAAATAATCAA